CATAAAATAAGCAATGAAAAGGGATAGAATGAAAAAAAAAAAGTAGAAATACAGAGATTTCAGATGGAAGCTACCTAAGACGTATTTCCTGTTTTTAATTGCCAAATTCATCATCTTAAAAGAAGATTTTTAAGTCTTCTTCCAAATACCAATGCTGGACAGATACCATACACATGAATATCTGGAGTTGCAATTAAATCTTGCTTATTTTGGCAATCGTTAGTTTTCTTATAGTCCTTTATTGATAGATGAACAAAGGACATTATTTTAATGCCTTTGGAATCATACATTTATTTTTAATTCTACATACACTCAATTGCTGTTTTTTGTGATTATGTTTCCTTCCAAAGACATAACCTTTTACTCTGGCAATTACCACTAGGAGAAATGCACTGCAGTGTGCTCCATAGTACCAAATTGTATCTGCCTGCCACTGAGAAACCAGCAACTTTCCTGCCACAGGACTCCTCTAATTCTGACTTTCTTCTCTCCCTGTTAGGAAACACCTCTCAGAAAAGAATCTCCTGAACTCACACATTAAGCTCTGGGAACTTACTTATTTTTGCTGCGTGGCAGTTCTTTATACAGTATACGACACTTTGCTTCAAACTGAGCTGTCTTTTAAAGATTTTTATTCTGGTTTGCACAGGTGTTATATAGCCATTAAAAAGAAAATCTTATTAGCTGGCTCTTACTTATGTATTCATCAAAATAAAAAAAAATTTCACAACTATTTATTAGACAAACTACATTATACAACTTATAGGAAAAAGCTTATTCTCTATACTATTAACAATTGACTGTTACCTGAAGACTTAAAAAATCAGCAGTAAAGCAAAACCAGGGAATTAAAAAAAAACCCTCACAAACTTTCCTATTTGCAAACATTTAGCTGAATTTATCAAAAGTTTAAATACGCAATTTCAGAGGTTTATGTTGACCAGACAGTAAGAAAGGGAGTTAATCAAATATGAATCTTCTCCAACTGTCTTGTCAAACCAGGTAATGATGTCCTGCCAGCCAAACTCAGAGGGAACATGTGAAACAAATACAAAAGTAAACAGGCCTTAAGCTGCCCAAGGGAAAGTCAGCAAGATGGCAATTTCAATCATTTGGAATAATACTAAAGCAGCCTTAGGCTTTTCTCAGAAAGGAAACATGTCACTGTTACTGCAATATTTCAACAAATCAGACTGCAAAAGAAAGGAACACTTATGTAATCACAGCCGTGGAACAGCGCTTTACTCAACGGTGAGGTGGAAAATAATTAAAAGGAAATTCCCTTTTTGCGAGTAATTGTAAACGTACCTACGTAACAAAGACAAACAATGTTTCCTTAGAAATTTCGAGTGAAAAAATCAAATTCAGACACAGATTCCTTTAGTTTTGATACAGGAGGCTCTGGAACAACAAAGATAAAGTTCTACCAAATAAAACTATGAACATAATGTTCCTACAAAATTTATCAAATGTTGATAAAAGTTACATTCAGAGCTACAAACAAAGCAAAAAGTACTTCAAGAACAATTCTGCTGAAAAGTTTCATTAAGATGAAGGGGTTGTCGTATCATTTAACTGAGAAATCAAAAAATATTTCAAATATTTGGGGAACTTACCTAATCAGTAAACTTTCAGTATGTGTCTAGTCATGTAGCCATCTTTTAGTCAATCATCAGAAAATCAAAGGCAAATTGGCATGACTCAACCCAAACTTTAATACCGCATGATTGTGTCGTGTAAGCTTGTTTTGTGCGAGGGCTGCTGTGGTTTTAGCAGAGAGATTAACGACCGGACCTAAGCTGGCCTCCAAACCTTGCCCTGCTGATGCCTCAAGCCCTTTGAAGTCTGACCATCATACCTGGCAAAACAACAGTGGGAACTAGGCTGGTGTCAGATCTAATCAAGTTTCCTGCCTCAGCATAGCTAACTATGGGGTACACTAATTGGCCCAATTGCGGATTATACCTTTTGCTACAGATTCAAGACAATAATTTAGTCAAATGATGGTTTTTATCTCCTTCTAATTAAGATTCCAAAGTGGGAAGAAATAGGATTAGACAGGCTAACTTCAAAATTGTGTCCTTTAAAGTGGTATGCACATAAGATAGATCTCTGATAATATTGCATATAATAATATATTGCTAGTAACTAACGTGTGAAGATTTGGGAAAGCTTGATACAGTTACTGCACCTTTTACCATAAATATGTAAGTTTTCCTGGAAAGGGTCTACCTCATAATTTACGAATGGAAAATGAACACTCATAAATATTCATTAAAAAACATTTTCATCCTGATTTTTAAAAAGATCCCTTTAGAATACATTTCAGTCAATCTTATTTTGACAAAGAAGGTACAAGAAAAACTGAAACAGTTAAATGATTCTGCAGACTATAAAGAGGCGGAGTCCCTCCCACAAAACTGCAATCTAATAAAACGGATTTGACATTTAAGTTTTTTTATTGATGAAGGCCAAACCATAAAGAATTATTTAACTGGTGAGCAATCCAGAGATGAGAAAAACCATGTCCTGTGTCCTTATTTTAAACTGTAAAAAAAGAATGGTCTAGTGATGATAAACCTTTTCTGGAGAAATTTTGCCATAAATAGGTTGTGTATTTCTAACTTTTCTCATGCAATTTGATTTTAAAGTGGCATTTCAAGTAGAAGTCAATATTTTTACCCTAAATTATGTATATAACTAAGCAGAAGCTTTTCAAAAACTGTAACGAACTCAAAATATATTTCATTTCACATTTAAGCTACACATTAAAGAAGTCATAAACTTAGTGTACTTTGTATAAAGCACTGTTGCCTGTAACACACACTGTTGTGCTGCTTTATGTTTTTACCACCAGAACCAAACCTGACTGCTGACTCATCGCATTCTAACTGCAGAAACGTATTTTAGAAGACTCTATTCACATCTGTTCTTAATTCAATTTTCCCTTATTTTCTTAATGACCTCATTGCTCTAGTCAGCCTAGCCGTAGTCTGCCTACACAGTATGAGGAAGAAAAACATATGTATTATAGATTAGTGAAATGTGTACAGGAAGATCACAGTAGGACAGTTATCTAACATGTTCAAAAATGGCTAGTTTTTGTCAGTTCAGCTTATAGAAAGCATATCTCTAAAAAACACCTGAGGTTATTCAAAAGGGGCTGCAGCTGAGCAATGAAGGGAGAAATTATACAAGTGGGTCATCTATGCATGTCTAGGGCAACAGGTTTTCATGAGTTCCACTACACCCCTGTTTCCAACGCTTCTGCCCATGGCTAATTCAATTCTTTTTACAGAGCCTCTTGCTGAAGTTGTTTTTTTTTTCCTTCGAAATTACATAACAAATTAGAATCCCAAACATGTCTAACAGAAAAAATTATATTCTGAGTCACGATTCATAGTGAGGAAAAAACCCCCAAATATTCTAATTCATAGCTATAATAAATGAGAATTTACTACACTGTGAAATGAGGGTGCACGCTTCTCTGCACTTCCGAAAACAGTAAGAACATTTGTATTTTAAAACCAAACACAGACTATTAAGGTTTTTGTTTCTAATGTACTGCTCAAAAGCAGTTGTTAAAATGGTTTAATACCTCACAATGCCTGATTTCACTAACCGCATTCTCTGGAAAGTGAGAAACATTATAAAGGAATGTCTTCGGGGAAAAAAGCCCTCCTTCATGTATTTGCCTTTAAGTGGCTTCTGAAGAGGATACCTCTAGTTGGGAAACTTCTAGCACTCATGTAGGGATGACCTGCATGAAGAACTGGCTGCCTGATTAACTATTAACTACTCTCAATAGGATTACATAATTAAAGACATTGATGACCATTAATTAGGAGGAGGGCACCTTAATTTGTCATTTGATAGGGCCCTTTCAATGATTTATAGGTTAGGGCTACTTGCAATTGTGAAAGGGAGGGGGAAGTGAAGAGAGAGAACCCTTAAGTTACCTTATCAAGTGGCCAGCTAAAAAGGGCAGAGGGTCAAATAAGGGCCAAAGTGGTCACTTAAGGGTGAAGTCCCAAACACCAAAGCAGTGCCAAGCCACATTGACCATCATTTGGTGATGGAGTAAAAAATATGCTAATTTATTGGTGGCAATTCTCTCTTTTTATGGTTTCAAGCAGTTAAGACAAGTGGCCTGCTTAAGAGCTTTTCATTTGAAAAGAGATTAAACAAAATGGTTTGTCAGGGATGCTTGGCTGTTTTATGTCTTTGTTAAAGAAAATTTGCCCAGACTGTACCGAGGACTGTCACATCACCCCGAAAGCCATCTTCCATCTCTAAGCATTACTTGGTTAATAAATACATCAGCTCTAATTGCTTAATAGTGCTATGTTCATTTGCTCTTTAGCAAGATTAAAATGAAATACATCTTTTGTATTACTGCCTTCTATCAGGACTGTCTGCATAAAGGTCACAGAAAAAAGTTTAAATTTAGTAGGAAATTTACTTAAGGACATTAGTGTAAATGATACTGTGTTTAAAATGACATAAAAGAGCGAAAGGTGATTTCAGTAATGCAAAGAAAATGGTTTCTGAATACTGATAAGGACACTTATCCCTCATACCACACACAATTTTAGGCAGCATTATACATTAAAATCCCTCTACTGGGGTAATAACATGTAGCTACTTTCCCACCCACTAACACAAGTAAGAGCAAGTCATTAACATTTAATTAAATATGCTCCTGACATCCTTAGAAACATGCCACGCTTTGTTATTGAAGGTTGTGGCCTACTTTCTATGTACATTTTAAACCAAAATAAACTATTTATAACAGACTGATTTAGTGCAGCAAATGAGACATTTTTAATTAGAAGGCATATGACAATATTTTATAAAACCGTTCTGAACAGCAAAACCAGAATGAAATGAATTTACAACATCTGATGCATATTTTATGTATTTCACAAAACGAAACATAAGAGATGGGATTAGCTCCACCTTTTGGGTTCTAAATAGTGAAACAAAACTGTTTCTCTTACCTCAATGGTGAACAGCTTCCTTTTTAATCTAAAAGCAAGGTCCTTCGTGTCTGACACATCACAGATCAAGCTATTAAGCCGAGGAATCTGATGTACATGAACCAAACCTTGTGGAAAGAAAGAGTAAAGGAGGGGAAAAAAATTAAGAAAACGCTGTCATCCAGATGCATAAATTAGAGTCTTACAGCAGATTTCTGTATATTTACACACACTCATCCTCCCCTTTTTAAACTGGAGCTTACTACCAGGAGCAATGAAGCAAACGGTGCGATTATACTCAAGTAATCAAGCAGAATAAGATAAACAGAAATCCTTGTGCGAAGAAAACTAATTGCACTTTGGTACAGAAGTACAGATGTAAAGAGGGATCTTAATACTTGTCAAAACTACAGCCGGTTTGTGTGTGATTTTCTCTTGTATTTACAGTAAGCAAATATGGCTATCACCTTGCATGCTGCCCACGGCACCACTGAGTGATCTTTATTTTATTAAATGCACCAGTAAGCAGCCAGCAAAACAAGGCTTATGGGTTACTGATAACCACTGAAGCTCTAATGAGAAGTACTTCGTTTTGTGCCCTGAAAATGACTTTTAAAAAGTTTCTGGAAAATACCTATTTAGATCATGGTTTTCGATAAATTTTAATCCCTATGCCATCCTAAGAGAAATAAGTTTTCTTCGTGCAGGAGGCTTATATAGCTGTTCAGATCTTTTTAACAGTACTAGGTGCACTGCAAGCTCTGCATTCTGTCAGCTGCAACTCAAGCTGATTTTTTCTGACAAGGACGCTGGATGGTTTTTGTGCAGCCTAATATAGTTTCTGAACAACCTAAGGGTGATTTTCTACATCTGAAAACCAGGAAAATTCTACAGGGCTTCTCAATTACTGGCCTATATTTGCTGTTCATAAAGCCAGCGTCTAAATGGAAATACTGAACATTTAGAAAAGACATCTTACTTGAAAACGGCAGCTGTGAGAAAAACCCCAAACACTAAAACCCTAATTTAAAATAAGGCAAGTATTTTTTCAGGGTTTTATTTATTTTTTTAAAAGGAAGAATAAGGGAAGAAAGTTTCTTAAAATTGAAATACTTTAAAAAGCATCATTTTTATGGGTACTAATTACAAAAATTCTCAATAATATCAGAAAAATATTTTTACACTTTGAAACCTTCTATCCCTGCCCCCAGTCCAGTGACATATAAGAATTATTTGTTTGGCTTTTGAGTTCAGAATATAATTATTATATACAGGAACAGCAGGTGTAACACAGGGTTGCTTATATACGGTACTCTAAAAATTTTATTTAAGGATCATCTATATCATTCTTTTGTTATTTTATTGACTTTTCAACCATTTAAATTTGCAGGCAGCTTAATAAAATTATTAATGCAGAATTCATTAAGTAATGCAATAATTTAATCAAACTTCTCCTGAGTAATGTAAAAATCTTCCATCATCTGTAGTAAATACATAATCTTAAAATATATTCTCAAGCAAAAAGAATCCACAAAAACTAAATGTTAAGAATACCTATTTTTAGAATGTTAAATTAAGGTTGCCTAAACCTCAAAAGCTATGTATATTGACATACAATTTTTATTAAATAGTACCAAAAGTTATTTAGCATACATTTTTACAGGAAACCAGGAAATAACTGCTAAAACACACGTTGTCTTAAAGGATCTCTTCAGTACTGAGAAAAGGAGTATCAAATTGACAGAATTATGTTAGCATAAACAAATGCCACATCACGATTATACAGTTGGAAAAATAATTAGGCAAATTATTCTAGCTTTTGTTCACGGTTTCTTTTTCATTCACCTTTTTTCAGATAATGAAATGTGCACTATTTTCATAGTCAAAAAGATTTTTCTCTGATTTATTAATTACAGCCTGCATACACACAGTGGTGTCTCAACACCATCTTTGCTTCTTTTTCTATATATTCTGCTATGGAAAACACTGCCACATTCTCACATGTTTACAGCAGGTTTCAGATAAGCAGTTTAGTTTCAACTAAAGGTTTCCATGGAACTACAGTAGTATCACAATAATAATAGCTGTAATTTATGCACACTTAGAGCACCGCTCCGGATTAGCTAAAACTGTTTGTTATTCACTGCTTTGGCTATGTATAACTTCTAATCTAATCTTTTAAAATTTAAATAGTTCTGCTGCAACAGCTAACAAAATCTTTGGGAAACAAAATGCAAGATTAAACACCATTACACATCTTGAAGATAAATCACTTGAAAGGCTACATGACTTTTTACCAAAATTAGTTTCATATTTAACATGCCACACATATCCACGTTCATTTCTTTAAATGCGTAAGTGCCATAACTTAAAGCTAAAAACCAGAACATTATTTTTAGATAAAGTTTATATAGCATGTCATTTAGCAGTTTATTCACCTTACTAAATATATGTTTTTCCGTGTTCTCTATTTAAAACTTGGCAGATCAAAAGTATTGATTTCATGACAAGTTCAGCTCACTGGTCAGATGATTGCCAAGCCTCCTCTGCATGTGAATTCCCCAAAGCCTGCCTGTTGAGATGTACATCTGATTGAGCCATGCCTCAGTAATACGGCTTGACAACATGCAAGGAGTTGCCATGTTTCCTTTGCAGCCTTAATGCACTTCACTGAAAATTTTCCTAACTCAAGACTGGTTAGCAAGGAGAAACATTTAAGAGGTATATCCTAAAATGAAATCAAACTCTATTTTATAGCAGATATCCAACTGGAGGGTAAGCTGCTAAGTGCCCTAGAAACACTCAGGGCAGACTTTTTGCATTGCCAAAGATGGAACTTACCGTGGTAATCCTTGTATAATGGATTGGTTTCTCTCTCAGAGCCAATAAATGATTCAAGACCAACTACCATATCTGACAAGTTTGTTACACGTTCCATAATTGCTTTATTCTGTAAGACATGGAAACAAAATACACATCCTATGTGATGAAAAAGGTAATTAATGTTCATACAGTAAGCCTTGGTCTTCTCAATGACAAACTATGTGGAAAAAAATAGGTCATCAATACTTCAAAATTACATTAGAGGGCTTTTTTCTTTAAAAAAAAAAGACTTGAAATTTCTGTCTAAAGAAAACATGCATTTGACAAGCAGAAACCATAAAAGGGCTAACTCAGCACTAAATTAATATTTTCCTAAATCTTCATAACATAAGCATTTGCTCACATCAGAGATATTTACAAGCTATGTGGCAGTTAAGCACCTCTCATTGACTCCTACTATGAGTCAGATGCCCAGCTTTTGTTTGTGTTCTGAAAACCTTTTCTTTTAATACACTTAGGCATATCACCTCTAATATTTTGAGCAAGCACAACACACACAATGATTCATTTTAGTCATCAGTCAAACAACATGGAAGAGCAAAGCATTTTCTCCAGTATTTTTCTTTCTAAAAGTTCCTCTCTGCACAACATATGAATCTAAAGCTTCAAGTTGCATTACTATTTCTCAATATATTTGCGATTTATAAGTGATGCCTTATGTCTTGTCCAACAATGTACTGTCATGTGCCTTAAACAAGCTGTTTTCCACATAATTTTCTGTACTTAATTTTATATAGCAGAAAAAACAACATTCAAAGGTCACAACAGAGATCTTCAGAGGTAACTCACGATAAAATGTTCTTAAACGCTTTGATGATGTCAGTATTTAATGAGTAAAAAAGAAAAGACAAATCTGTGCTAAAAAGCAAAATATTTCTTTAAGATAAGAAGATCTTAAAGCTGCCTGGACACCTGGTATACTCTTGCTCTTGAATGGCTGTAGGTGCTATACACATCATACCTTCAGGGGTGTGAAGACCAATCACCTCAAAATACCCATTCCAAGTATGAAGAATTAGCTCTGTAGCTCCAAGTGATAGTTTTGTATTTTTTATTAATTTTAAAGCATTTTGTACATTCTACATTTCTTTCATAAACTATATGACTGACACTTATTATGAAAGGTCAATTTAAATACTGGTAAACTATCTGATAATAACAATTTATAAAGTAATTAGGAGCAGAGAGAAGGGAAACATCCCTAGATATGTTAGAAAAGCCTATGCATTGTACTGACATACAGATTTATTAAAACGGTGATCAATACACCAATTGCTTTCATGAACCCACATTTCAATAACAGCGTATTTCCTAGCCACAGAGAAGTCTACGAAGCAGGCGTGAAAGGTGAATATTTCCTACTCCCATCAAAGAATAATCTGAATTCTGTTTTTTGACCGCTATATAAAGTAACTTGTGGCCTGTCCTGCACAGCCCAGTTCTGCCCAGGTTACAAGGTCTAAATCCACCGATCCCATGATACTTTTACACCCCCTCCCTTCCCCACCTTATGGGCCAGATGGCATTAAATCCTGGGGACTGGTCTCTCTTCAAAGCTGCTACTTGTGCACAGGCCAAAATGATCTACCCCCATGGAATCAAGGAACTTCAATTTTACCTACAAAGTCTAATGATGGATAATGATAAAATAGTGTTACACTACAGAATTTCTTTTCTGAGGAATAACATAAGTGATCTGAGGAAAAAGAACACTGCCTATACATCAATCCCTAAACTTTGTTATTATATCCACCCCTGAAATATCAAAGCTGACTTGCAAATTATTTCCTCTTCTAGGAAGAGAGAGACAGTATACTATATTTTAATAGAAACGTTTGGTGACATTGTTCTACAGGGGCAATCACATAAAGATGGTATAAATATAAATCTGAAGTAGCCAGTGACCTCTATAAATCCACAGACCAGAAATTACTGTATTTTGCCAGTTCTTCAGCACGCTGCTGGATGTTATTTGTATAGCAAGAAATACAAAATTGTTACAGAAATAAACAAACACTGATGATTTCTGGAAGCTAACCTAAACTCTTGGTATAGAAAAAATATTCTATAATTTGAAAAAAGGTTTGCTGTCCACTAACATGTTTGCTTGCTGGTTTTGATAACAATGGGTTACAAAAACCGTGGATAGAAAGACGCTCAACCATCAGCAAGGTATCCTCATCACTAACAGTCCTGCAAATCGTAAGGATAGCATCTTTCCTATTTGGTCTTAATTCTGGAAAGATTAAAGTGAGGAATAGCAATTCAGTATTTGCCTAATGATACATACTTCAATATGTTGGTTTCAGCTCTTCTTCTGAACAGGTTTGCTTTCTTAAATCGTAGTCTGTTTGCCCATGTTGATTTTGATTTTGTTTTTAAAGTGTGTCAAAATATTCTCCTGGCTTAATGCAGTGTATCTTGGGAAATATTTTGCACAGTGAATCGCCACACCAAATAGACATTTGCTTATGTGGCATTGTTGCCATAGATCTGTATCTATCATGTATTTTCTAGTTTGCAGTGTTCAGCACATTAAAGTCCAATCAAAGCTGACGTCAGCACACAGATAGTTGTGATGTATGGCATACTGACATAAACACACAAATCATGTTGCCCCATCTGGGCTTGAAAATTTAACAGAGCTCCAGATCTTCCTCCAGCCCCATACAAATCTACCTCCTGCTTCTGGCATAAACTTGGCAGCTCTGGAGGTGAGCCAGGACATGGTTAGGAGGGAAGCCAGGAATGGGGAGATTCAGTGAAAGAGTTTGTTGGCAGCTAGAAGAGGTATTGTTTTAAATTACATGAAAAAATAATAAAAAAAACCCAACCCAGTGCTGGAAAGTTTTCAGTCTTGCTAGATGTACTGCAGTTTTTCTAAATTAGTTAGTTCAGCCAAAATGTAATTATTCTAACAACATGGTAGCAACCCTGTTGTGCAGGCTGGGCTGGGCATCCATTCTATATCTTACTTTCTGCCCACTGTTTTAGACAGACATTTTCTTTTAAGCGCAAACTTGCAATATTTGGGCTCAACCAAAGTATACTTTCAAAACAACGTCTCAAAAAAATCCATGTAGCTAGCTGGATATGTAAATAGGAACTATACATATGTGTTTAACCAGCTTTTGGGAAGGGCAATTATGGAAAAAGATTGCTTTGTCCTACCAATTCATTTGCAGAATCTACATAGCTTTGAGTAATTATTTGTGCATGTTTAAAAATACTTATTTACAAATAAAGCAGTTCAAAATGTATCATCTTCTGTGTCTGAGTATAAAGCATGGTATTCTACCAATACAAATATATGTATAGCCTGTATGCTCAAACTTACATACTGAAATTAATACTGTGTGTTTCTACTGGATTGAGTTCTTAATGTACCACAATTTTATCATTACTACTATTAATCAAATCAATCTTGGTTCATCTGGATTCCGTATTAGGGAAAAAATACGTCTTTTCTACTCTGCTCTAATTTCTAGTTCTCCTCTGGTTTCCTGTCAAAATTTTTCTAACACCCAGAGATATGTCCTCCCATTTTTATTTTGTCAGTTTCTAAAGAAATTAAAAACTTCACAAAATTTACATAATAAAAATATTTAAATTCTCAGTCCTTGTGCTGCATTCAGTAAAGAAAAGTCAAAAGAATGGAAAATTTGCTTAGAATGACTTCAACTTTTCTACATAGTACATATAAACAATCTCAACATTTAAAAGGAAAATAAGAGACTCATGTTCAAGATCTACAATGAGATTCAACGAGCACCTGTATAAATACATTAAGCTCTTGAATGACATGGGCTTCGTATATTCACTTTTGTATTCTGATCAATACATTAACATAATTTTAATACTGATTTATATATTGAATTGAAAATAAGGTATTTTAAGACTATGCCTCTTTTCAAAGACACATTAGGCCTATATTTTGTAGAGGGCTATATCTGACTTCTGTACCTTTACATTCTGGTAATCTAATCCCATCACTGATTTTATTTTAAAACATTTAATTAAGAGTTAATACATTGAATCCTAAAATGGGTTTCATTACCTAAAAAACTCCTTAAAAACAACTGCTACCACTGGGACAAAACCCAGCTTAAACTGTGAGTTGCATACATTCCATATGACAGCACAGAATTTAAAGATGAATTCAGATACTCCCCCCCAGTCTAGGTAAAACTGTAATTGCAGGCAACAATTTGTGTTGTTACCAACAGGTGAGTCTAGTAGTCCTGACACTTCATTTGAAAGAAGGTCTCAATAATAAACAGAAAGCAAGCAAGTTAATGCAAAGTAATATGAACTTTAAGCAAATTTTGGTGCGTGAATTTTCAAAAAAAGGTCAAAAATTGATTGTACCTTTTTTTGTTTCTGTTACATTCTGTCATAAAGCTGAAGTAAGCTTAGTACTATAATGTAGGCAGCCACATTGGACTATAACGAAACACTGGCTGGATATTCAATAGATGAAGTAATTATTAATATTTTCTGAGAAATTATCACACAATGATGTGGTAATGACTTCACAATATACAAATATTTACCACTTGTCATTACTACTCAATCTCCAAAGTATTTTAAATTGAAAAGATAAATTATTCAGAAATATGGCTTAAATATTTATCACCATTTGTTAATAATTACTGCTCAGAAAATCACAGAATTACCCATATATTTTATTTTGGTAAAAGTAGTTAGGTATTAGGCCGTTGTATTAGTTTTATAGAGAGATACAGCTGGTGTCCTTTTTCATTATCCACAAATCCCAAAAATAAAAGATTAATAACCGCTCTGCCAAAAAGTGTTATATCAATAATTAACAAAGACTGTAAAGTATAAAATTCTATACTTCTTCTGACTCCAAGTTGATTAGCACTGTTTCCCGTGCTTGCACACACCAAACCTACTAACTGAACTTCGAATTTTGGCTCAGACCACTGGAATATAAGACGAGCAACAGTACATGAACAAATTTTGGTATGTAGAAATCTGTATCAATATCACAAGAAAACTGAATACAAGCATGATGTCTTTGCTGGAAGACAGATATCCTAGAAA